GACTGCACTAGGTAAAAATGAATGCGAATTCTACAGTTCTGGGGGTGCGATTTGAATGTTTCAAGGCCACACTGCTGAGTTCGAGCTCTCATTAACATAGATTTCCAAAAAATCTCACTTATAGTTGCCGTGGAATATATCTGTGACTTACCCCGGCGCTTTGTTTAGGAACGGAGAAAAGGAAAGGAGCGTCTCGTCCTGGGCCTGCTAGTGAACTCGTCAGTAGTATATATCAATATTAGGCGGACCGATCACTTGCGAGAAACGCGTGGTATGCGCGATGTCCCTTTAGTGATGGACAAGAAGTGCCACCACACAGCGATACAGAGCTGAAAATTGCACGAAAGCGCTAACTCGACGCTTCCTCGCGTATCCACGCGTCTTTGTGTCCATTCGTCGGGCCGATCGTAATTCTAAATTCTGACTTCTGAACGCAAATTGCGTTCCAACTGCAACTTGTAATTACAGTAGTCGGTTAAATTATTAGTCAGACGCGGTAAAAGTAAAAAAAATTGGAAAATTGAGAAAATGGTCATTCTTCGTACCGGTCACACGAGGAATTTCAAGAAGAGGTACGACGACGACCGATCGAGGGGAATTAACGGAAATAAAATCGCGAACGTAGAGCATTACAAACGGATTTAAACGCGGCGGTACAAAATTAAATTTTATATCCCATCAGCGTCACGTCGGCTGCGGATGTAATCCAATTCCCTGGAGGAAATTGTAAGAACGAGACGGCCGCCATTACGGGATCGCCACGGACCGTTTCACGTTTCTTCGGATTCCGCGGGATTACATTTACAATATTAACCTCCTCGCGGGCACCGGGCTCGTTGTAAATACAGCTAACGTTTCCCACTGATTCTGGAATAACTTTCCGTCGGGTGAGCGGAAAATGAAACCGGAGGGATCGCGAATATGAATAACACAAACTAAAAATTGCTGAATAAATGAAATCGTTTAATGAATATGAATTTTCCTGCCGTAGCAATAACAACTTTCTTCGACGAACGACCAAACACGCAAAGAGGTTCCCACTGTCGTGTTCTAAAAACAACTTCGTGATTACACGAATACTGTTTTGTTAATAAACAAAATTGTCTATATATTCTAGATGAATTACTTTATAGTTCTTTCTAATGTGAAACCATTATTATTTATTACTAGACTGCGGATCTTTATGCATTTATAGGAAATTTGAATGTGCAAGAACCTACAAAATGTAAACAATATGCAAGAATATAAAAAAGATTAAAAGTAAAGTTCATGTTATAATATTTGCAGAATAATATAAATTTCTATTCAGGTCTGGATTCGGTCTGGATTAATTTGTCATCGGGACAATGTACTAACTCATGTAGTAAATTATTAAGCGTACGCAGTAAATTACACATTACTGTGATTTGCTAATTGTCGTAAGCAAGTTACAAAGAACTTGCAAACAAACAAATATTCGAAATATTTTGAATTTTACGTTATCAAATATACCTATATAGTTACTTCCAATGCTATAAATACAGTGAAGCTCGAATACTGGTGCGAAGTGTAATTGAAGATAAAGAAATTTCATCGCGGATGGGAAACGATCATTACAAGCAACGTTTTAATGACAACGGCATCCTGTCTCGAGGATCCGCAATACCCTATTTTCCAGTAAGTTTCTTTGAGCAGGAAGATGGGCTTCCGTAGCTAGCTACGCTTAATTACCGGTGGCTTTATTACAGCTTCCTTTCGCAAGGTATCGGATCGATAAAGAATAAATGACTCGGACGAAGGTTTTCCTGGCGTCGTTTAGGCTCGTCCGCGCTCTTTCAGCTGTCTATCGGGGGAATTACGTTTTCGTTGGTTCTCGAGTTAATCGACGATCCGCTCTCTACCAGCGAAAATTGATTGTCGTTCATCTTCCAGGGTTCTCGATGTTCCGCAGCGACGTTGCGTTCGAACGGGATTTAACGTGACGTCGTCGGAACGCAAATGTGTCGAGAGAGGAACAGGGAACGAGGCACAAACGGTTAACAATGTTACAAAGCCACGGACAGGTTTGGCATGCCATTTTCGACGCGAACTAGAATTTCAGAATTCTGGTTAACAACCGACGTTCGATCCTCCGCATACTCGACTAAAAAGGATGCGAAATTTCCAGATGAACGAACAAAGCTTCGCCTGTGCCGACCAGGCGAAACTCAAAAGGGTGAAAATAATTTCTCGATCATCGTAATGCAGCGTTTCGAACGCGAAGGTGAGCGTTCTAGCGTATTAGCAGAATGACCGATGCGTAACATTTAAATATGTGCATTCTTATTTCGACTTCGATATTCTAATTTTTATAGTGTTATAATAAATACAGTACAGACTCCCATATCCAAACTAACACGGAGACAAAAGTGGCCAGATAGAAGAATTTTCGGATGATAGAACAATTACTCTTTCTTTTGCATTAAACATCATTTATTCAAGTAGAAATAAACGAAATTAAGCTTCTTTCCAGAGATCCAGCATGTAAAGCTTACACAATCTGTCATACTGCTATGCTAACGTCATCCAGCGTTTCAGTCACGTGATAATTGGAGCATGTGTTCCCGAAAGAGCATAAATCACTAACACCAGGTGTACAAAACCTTAGTAGGAGTGCTATAGCAGCCATTAGGCATGCTCCACGCAAAGCCGGAGATTTATAATTAATTTAACGTAGAAAAGTCCGAATATAAATAAATACAGCAGAGACTCCTGTATCTGAACTAATAGAGAGACAAAAGTGGTCTAATATTTAAGGATAATAAAACAATTACTTTCTCTCGCATTAAATATCATTTATTCAAGTAGTAATGAACGAAATTGAGCGCAAGTCACATAAATTGTGTATTCCCGTTGTTCCTCGAACCATAGAAGTCCTTGTTAACCGACTTCGAAAAGGTTGCATTGTATTTAATATGCTGTATTTAATAATTTAACCTAATTCATCAAGAGCTGCTGATAAAATAATTTTTGGAAAAAAAATATAACCGACTTCGAAGAAATGTTAAAACTGCACTGAAAAGTATGAAATGATTTCTGGTTAATTGATACGAATACTCACCAGTTCTAGACATAATTAGCTAAAAATATGAAATAATTTCTATTTCCTTTATATTAAATTATGTTAAATAACCTTTTCGTAGTCGGTTAATAATGCAGTTTAAATAGAAATTATTTCATACCTTTCAGTGCATTCTCTCATACATTTAAACAATTATATCTAGAACTGGTGAAACCAAAAATGATTCTATTTAAATGATTCGAATGCTTCGACATGAGAAAGCACGTTGTGCGGATAATAGAACGTCCGTGTATTAAAGGTTTCGGATAACGGGGGTACGGATACGGGACTCTCTACTGTAACGAGCGCAACTATTCTCCGTGAAATCTGGTTAAACGCGGCTGAAAAAATAGTTGGGTTTCCCAATTATTCGAACCTAGATTAATTACTTCTAGTTTCGAACGAGCTGCCCTCATTTTTGTGGTTTTATATACGGTAACGTTACTGAGAGATACGCGACCCTGATCATTACGAAATACAGATTGCCCCACTTTTTCCGCGCTGTAAGAACACATTAAGTAGGAAGCACGAAAACAACATTTGTCGTAATTGCAGCTTCTGCTTCGCCTCCCCGAGACCTGCTCGAGAGAGTCATTTATAAGTCCCGCGATAATCCTGATTCAGTGGTTCGAAAAACGTCTAGCCAGGATTCGTCTGATCGATATTTAATGACGCTTTTCGGAAATTGCTTAGCCATCAACGATCTTCCAGACCATTGTCTCTCGTTTAGTAAATATAACGCTGGGCAAAATGATAGCCCTCTTTGACGTTTCTGTTTCTACGGTCTCGAATAATTCACTAACTCTTAAAGGGAATAGTATTTTTATTTATTAGGATGATCTAAATACCTCGCAGACACGTGAGAAAATATTCCTGCAAAATTTAAACGTCTACATTTGACATTAATACTTCTTCAGGAAATTAAAAAATTTAGTTCATAAAAATTCTTCTATTAATAACGAATGCGAAGATCTTAAAAATCGTTAGCATGAGAACCACCCAAATATTTTTTAATATATTTTATAGAAACATTTTGTTCTGAAATTAAAAGTAGTAATACCATTTTATGGAGCTTTTCGAACTGAACACAATGCAATAGTTAGTTTTCGAAAAATTTGAATGAATACGAAATTGAAGTAATCCAACATTTTTGTCAGGCAATTGATTAGTGTCGGAAAGTTAAATCGCTTTTAAAATCATTCACTGCTGCGAATTTTCTATGCTAAAACGATTGTATAGTACGATTGGTTCCGCGAAATTAGCTACCATGTAGTTAATTGCTAACTAACTATGTTTCCAAGCAATTTAACATTCGAAGTCAATTAATTGCTCAGAAAAAATTTGTGGTTACTTAAATTTTGTATTTGTTGTTCAACAAATGAATGATTCTTTGGAAAACCAATTTTATAAAGCTCTCGAGCTTTTAAAAGCATCGCGGGACAATTATAGCACGCCGTACGAAAGACGCGAACGCAGCAAAATTGCAGCGAGATAAAACGATCAAAAGGCGCGAACAGAGAAACGACGCATTCTCCTCATTAGGAGCGTTAATTGAACGTGAAATTATTTATGGTACGTCGACAACATCGATTCAGTCGCGAACTATTGGAAAGATCTCTCTCGGGGCTCGTTATCGCCGCCATTCGGAATTCTAATCGCAATGACGGTACGTTTAAGACCTTTGACGTTACCTTGCCTTTCGTCGCGGGAAGACACATTTATTTCTACTAAACCTCCCACCGTCTCCAAAGTCGTTGCGTTCAGAAACGCTTTAATTGAAATTCATAACTCAGACTTCTGATTTGTCACGCAGGACCGATTCAACCGCGCGAACAGTTTCCTTTGAAGGATAACAATTGCGCTCTCGATCGATAGAACTCCGATACGCCGTTTAGCTTTTCGCCGACTGATTTTCACTTACCTTGAAACTCTTTCCTGGCAGCGCTGACGGAAGTAACGATGTTGGCCACGTGGCCCAGTACGGTGGCGAACAGCAGCAGACCAAACAGCAGCTGAGCTATCACGAACAAATATTCGCCTTTGCTCCTCGGTCTGAAAATGAAACAAAAATTCGAAAGGTATACTCGACCGATTTCCAGCAAACCAGTGGCCCTCGTATCGAAATACATCACGAGATTTTCGTGTTCTTTGAATCGAGGAAGTCACTTTGGACGCGTGAAAATCATGAAGATATTCGACAACTTTATTTGTTTGTTTAAAAAAAAAATACTCAATAAGAAAATTCATCAACTATTTCACTGTTTCATCTGGAGAAACGTTCCATTAGTAACAGTGACACCCTTCGAGATGACATTCTGACAAATGACGCCCTAACGAATAGTTTAACAGATGATAAATGGATGTCCAATTACCTGGGTAGATCACCGATGGTCGTGAGGGCCAGCGTGCACCAATAGTAGCTCTGCAGATATTGTTTCACGACGTCCGCCGTCTCGGAGTCGCTGAACACCCAGTTTTTACTGCCGAAGCCGTTGTTCTTATAAATAATGTGATAGAGGCACCCGTTCCAGTGAAAGATCACCAGTAGATAATGTATCAAGGATGTGGAGCGGAATAAATTCGGATAGTTCGTGTGTCGCTCGGTTCTGTCCATGAACGCCCAGAACCTGCGTGACAATAGATGAAGAAAATTGGATGAAATTCCAACGCGGTGAGGCGGTCATAAATTTCGACGTTCGTCTTAAAATATTGCGCGGAGAATATCTTCGCGCGATCGTGAAGGAATTTCTATTTGTCCATACGGCAAAATATTATAGTTGCCGTGGAATATATCTGTAACTGACCACGGCGCTTCGTTTAGGAACGGAGAAAAGAAAAGGAGCGTCTCGTCCTGGGCCTGCTAGTGGACTCGTCAGTAGTATGTATCAATATTAATCGGACCGAGCGCTTGTAAGAGACGCGCGGTACACGCAGTGTTCCTCTAGCGGTGAAAACAGGCGCTGTCACCGTAAGATGTTGCGTAAGATGATTGAAATTCGTAAAATGAAGCGAATGCGTCACAGATCGAGTCGGTTTCGATTTTGAGTCCTTTTTTTTTTTTTAGAAACTAATGGTAAAAATACGAAGTGTACTCACCGATATATTTTTACAAGTCTAAAACTTCGCAGTATACTATTGAATCCTATAGATAAGTATAAAAAGTCGAGGGGCAGCAGGCACAGGATGTCCATGTAAAACGTGGTGCTGTTCGTGTAATGGTTCCTCAGCTTCGTCGCATCGGTTTGCAACACGCCGTCCTCCAGATATCCCGTTCGTATGTGAAATACTATGTCCAGCACATATAAAAAATCGGAGAAGTAATCCAAGCAGAACCACACCCAGCGTGTTTCACCTGAAACAGAAAACGTTTGCCTTTCGAGAACGTACACGGAGTTTTTTCGTTTTTGAATTATTAACGAAGCACCGTTCAACGTTCGTATATACAAAGAAATTGTGGTTCTCTTAGACTAATTCGAGGCACCCTGTATATCTGTACATGGATCTCAACACCTTCTGTTTTCTTTACGGTTTTCTTCCGTAAATTGATTCTTTCTTGGCGACGTTAACGATAGTTACTCTAACCTTCGTTAGAGAAACGTTCTTTGGAGAATTGTTTGGAATCTGTGGCCGGTTGAACGGGTTAATTGTTAGGCGGACGACCCGATAAGCGTGACAAAAACCGTGCGACGAGCAACGTTCCGGCGCGTCGGGTTATCGAGGCCGCAGAGCGATTAGCGATGGCGGCTTAATTGCGGTGCATAGCGTATATCGTGGAAACCGGCAACGTTATCGCGCGAAATCGAGGATTATCGAAACGCACGAAGCATCGATTATCGTCGGAACTTTGCTACGCGCAACGGGTATCCCGAATACCAAGATACCTTTACGCGACTTGCACGGGATGATCCTGTTAAAATCGACCCTTCGATCGGGTCCTAATGAAAATTCACGGCGGGAGAAAAACGCTATTAACGTAAGCATCAATCAAATATAAACCGGAACTTCGTTTACACAGCTTTATCGTCGATAGAAAAAGAAAACATTCGCGATACCTTCTGTTCCGTAAGCTTTCGGTACGATGAGAATGAAAGCATATCGACAGGATACGTATGTAGGGTGGCGAAGTATAACGCGACGAGTTATTGACAAAATTTGCAATTCGGGGCCACGTCGAGTAGATGTGCAATGTCTGTTGATCGTAAATGCAAACATGAATCTGACACGTAAGCATTTTCGTATTATGATTTACAACCAGTGGAAGGTTATGTTCCGTCCCTAGTCATAATTTTAGTTTACTGCCGTAGTTGTACCATCGTCTACGTGCCTGGAGTCCAACCGTAAACGGAGTCAACTTGCGTCGCTACCAAACGTCCTGACCTACGATATATGAGGTATAAGGTATAAATTAATTTATTCAATTAAATATTGTGAATAAATTATTTTTATTAACCTTCACCGATACCGTTTTGTAATATCATTAATATTTATTCTGTATTTACTAAATCATACGACTCCTGGACGGACGTGTGTATCCACACGTTGATTAATGCTAACTAAGGAGCAAATATCCCGAGCCCTTGATTGCTGCACGATATAGATCCACGAGATCATTATACCACCGACCTCGTACGCCAGGCTGACTTTAACCTTCCGCAACATCTAACCTAGACACATCGAACCTGCATCCGACAGAAGCTTTAACTGCTACGAAATAACACTGTACATGTAAAGATTCTAGTTTAATCTGTTATTTAGTATAGATATGTGTACATATGTGCGAAGATTTTTATGCGAATACTTTTTGCTGAATACTGATATATCTTACAATATACACGTAGGATTTGGGATTGATCGAGAAATGTTAAACAGGATGTATTTGAATAATAAAATTGAAATGTGTAAAAAGATTGATGCAGGACATCTGTACGCGACCGTTACGTGAAGATAAAAAGACAACGCGATACGACAGCTCGCGAAGCCGCCCGAGAAGTGCTGAATACATCGATCATTCGACCGACGTTTCTACCGATCAAAACATAACATCCCTTCGTACATCACGATTAAACCATCCTACATCTCGAGATCCTCCACACTTATTTCAACATCGTACATATTACATTAAACTAAACAACCAAAATATTATAAATATATATATAAACGAATATCTTACTAAAATATCTAAAATACATTAAAATATGCACAATAACACGAACCAGTGGAAATATGTAGCATGCATTACGATTCGTCGAAAGTCACAGAGCATATGAAATTTCGCATATACATTCTACGTATTCCGTTGTATTCCGATGCATGATGTAACGGGCTAGTCGCATCTGGGTTGGATGTCAACTTCTTTGGCGTGCAAGACTGAAACGTGTGCCAAGAAGAAGAGATAGCGCGAGCTGTGGAGGCAAGACGACACGGTGTCACCGACTATACACCTGGCAGATCTAATTCCCTTTGAAGGGAACACGGAATGCCAAACGCATTCCCTTCTTCTTCTTGACAAGTTCGGTAGTTACGCGACTGAAACATGGCTACGTGATTTCAAGCAGAGTTGCAGAAGTGACCTCAGGAGGATCGGGAAGGGCCAATGGCGTTTTGACCTATGTCCATTAGGTGACGCATAAAGTTAGACGAATTCTGCTTCGGGCGTTGGAATATTCTAAACTCCGTTCGGAAATCGTGCGACGTGTGCGAGTTGGAACTGGAAAGAGAATTCGTGAAAAATTTCTAACGGAGTATTCCTATTAGCCCTTTGCACTCGAGACGTGACTCTCAGTTACTATTAGGTTTCACGCAGCAAATCTATCAGCAATGATGTTTCTATAGGTTTAATTTCTTTGGAACTTGAAATGTCAATAAAATCGGCGAGGTAAAGGTGACCTGATTCTCAAATTTCGATAGCTTAGCATTCGTGGCAATGCTAAGAAAGCACCTCGAGTCGCTCGTAGATACCAGAAAAAAGGTCTCGAGTGCAAAGGGTTAGGTCTGGGTTAAATTTTGTTTACTTTGCAGTTCGTATCGTACAAGTAGTCAACTAGAAAATCATTTTACGGGATAAACCTTCACGATTAGTTTACAGGTCGTATGTTTCCACACGTTCAACTGGTGTTGTCACGGTGTGGCCAAATTGAGGACAGGAGTTGCAGGGAGTTATAGTGAATTCGTCATACCACCCAGTGGACTGGTGGGAACGACAGACACATACTGATATACCGTACACGGTAACTGGTCACATACACGTGGCTTGTGCAGTAGTACGCGCCTATTGTCTCCACCATTCTACTAGATGGAATGATAAGTTCTCTATAACTCCTTGTTACTTCCGTCCTCAATCTCACCGCACTGTCCGGCCATGCGATTGGTTGTATATCGATTCTGCATATTTACGTCTCACCGTTGTACTAACGTCACGAATACAATAATCTTGGCGTGTATCTGGCCCAAAGTTGACATTTACGAAGTAAATGAAGACATGTGCGAATAATGTACATCGGTGTATACATTGCTATGCAAATAAAACATAAAACGCTCCTAGCCTAAGAAACAAACGTCTCATGCATGATTCACGGGAGGCAATGTATCTACAAGTATAATAGCACGAAGAAAGACTAACCGTTTATTTCTTGGAAGGCGAACCTATAGATGATGACCCAGAAGTTGTACAGAAAGGCGAGGGACACCACCATGGACCAATAGTAGCATAGTCGTCCTGCGGGATCAAAGATGAAGGACCAGTTAGGGGCGCCCGTTCGAAAACCTTTTGATCCCGGTTGTCCAGGGTAACCTCTGCTACCGCGTTGTTGTTGTTGCTGCTGCACGGTGTATCTACTACAGGAAAGCGACATTGTAGCAAAATTGTAAAAGCGACAGAAACGCTAAAAGGATTCGTGTCCTTTGTAGCCCGAGGTAGCGAACATTCGAAAATTGTGAAAAGCGACTGGTTTAGAGTAGTAGGTACGTATAGTATAGTACGTATAAGTACGTAAAAGATTCAGCTGTTTATATGTAAAAGTTTCTTTTTGCATTACATACCACCCTACGTTATTAAAATTGTTGAGTAACAATTAGTAAATTAACGTAATATAAATAACAACAAAATAACAGAATTGTGGATGTAATGAAAATATTGCGTAAATGGCTGTTTCGTTATCGAGAAAATTACAAAATGAGTCTCGTCTTGTGATAGATTGAGTAGTATGCAGAACTTAGAATGAACTCTTAGAAGCTGTTCGTCGTGCCTTTGGGGAAATCAAAAGCTACGAGCTAGCTTCATTTGAAAGAGCCGGTGCAACCTAGAGCCGTGATACTATTCGAAACTACAATCGTACACTACAATCTCTCCTAATTCTTCAAGGTGTTCGTAGTGCGACCGGGAATTCTCAAGAGTAGAGAAATAGCGGTGTTAATATCACTTTAGAATAAGAAAAAGAATATCCAAATAAAACGATAATGCAGATACAACAAATATATTTAAAAAAAAAAAAAACAAAATCTTTTTCAGTATTTCAAATAATATTATTTCGAATATGATCACATTAAAGATAATTAGGAAGTAAAATAACACGTTACTCGAAATATTATTTCAAATAATATAACGTCGATCAAGTCCAGGTCTGTCATTACGTAATTGTATCGCATAGAGCATCGAATGTTTGGTCAATCTCATAGCCCGTGCATTCGACATCCCCTACTCCCATGGATATTTGATGACATACACATGTCCACTGTTACGATTTAGTAACCACCTCGATACGTTTACCAGTGGACATTCCCTATCGTCGAACGTTACACCGTTCAAGTAAACGTTACAAAAATTACACACTGGTTTGCTGTACGTTTGCTATTGTATACAGCCCAGACCTGTTCGTTACCTGGCCACTGTGCGTACCGTGCTCGGGACACCAGGGGGGATATAACGCGCATACAAAACAGTTGTTTCGCTCGGGATGCGTCCAGAGAAGTTTCTGTTTATGTCGCCGCGTTGAACTAGTTAGAAGTTGAACGCCCGCATGATGTAACTGTAGGTCCGTGCGATTCAAACGGCACCGCGTCTTCCGTAAAATTTACTTTCCAAAATTGCTGTGGCGGGTGACAGGAAACAACGCAACCAATTTAGCGAGGACAGAAGCGGTGATATTACGAAATAAAGAATATTATGAAGTACCGTCCGACAGTTTTCCAAAGGAAATTATGGTGAATTGTGGTTCGGAATCGTCTCGGCTGAATTAAATTTGTATGTCTTAAAAAAAAGATTCACGATTTCCTTTCGCAATAATTCGCGACTCGAAATGCTACGAGCTTATTCCTCGATTGATCGCGATCAATTCGAGCTACGGGACATCTCGTAGTTAGCGGCGAACCGGTCAACTATGAGCGAGATTCGAGCGTTGTTTGAAGACACGAAGTTCGATCATCGGTGCGGGAACGTCGCACAGTGGGACAAAATGGCTCTCGGCGATTAAAAATCTCGAAGTTTGGTTCTCTTGAAAATATTTTAAAGAAATTTTAGGAAGTTATTCCCTGTATTACGATACTTAAATTGTATTAGTATAAATCAATTTGAGCTACAGGGTGTCAAAAATTTCACGTATAAAATGTAACGCGTTCGATATCTTTCGCTTGTTTGACATATTTAAACATTAAACAGCAATTTATCCTCTATCGATGTACATAAACAGTTTTTCCGTTTTACGAATTCACGAAAATCGATTTTTGATCGCCGAAAGCGGTTTTGTCCCACCGTGCGCCGGTAACCGATTGCGTACTTACGTCTCGGTGCCGTTGCAGCTGGTGTTGCTGAGGTGGTTGGCGGACGCCGGTGTGTGGAGATGCGACTGGTCGCGCGACGGTGTTAGAGTAACCGTGTAGGGCAGCTTGAATCTTCCTCTAAGGTGGTCCCTCCTCTTCGGCTTGCGGCTCAGGTCGAGCTCGCTCGCCCCGCGATTCACGTAAGCCCCCTGAAGAGAGTCGCGGGACGAGCTAAAGTATCGCTGCGACACAGAGTACACCTGCACCATCAATTTCGGTTTACGAGTTTTTGTCAGCCGACGCACCCTTGCCGCGGTTATTCGAATTTATGGGCGAGTTCGTCGGATACGTTTTCCATTCGTTTCGTCAAGGGAATCCTTTTTTTTTTCATGTTTTTTTTTCAACACGATTCGCGACAGTTCGGTGCCGGTTTTTGTTCCGTTTATTTTCAGCGCGATTTTCGCGATTGAAAGCTGAGAGTGGACTCGCTCGAAAAGGACCGCCGACGAGTACGCCGACAAGGGAGCATCGTCAACGGGCGGACGTCGATTTTAACGCTTTTAGAGGCGAAGAAATTGAATCCGGGGCGAAAAATGCGTCGCGAAATTGGCGCGGTTTGGAAAGATTTTGAAGGAAGGGCGACGAAAGGTATAACTTGAATACAAACATTAATCGAAATCCGATCGTTCTTGACTGTCTTAATAAAGCTTGACATGTAATTAACTAAGTAACTATCCGAGTACAATCAAAACGGCAATGAAACCAACCTGCTGTTGCTGATGATAATAATGATGGGTGGGCGTGTGGCGATTCATGTATTTACCGCTGACTAATTCCAAGAGACTCTGCCTGGAGGGCAAAGCGCTCCTGGACACGTTGTCCGCGCTTTTCGTGTCCTCATCCCTTTCCCTTCTAATTCCTGGCTTGATGTCGCCAGTCCTCCCATGCTTGTCATCGCGAAGCTTCTCGCCTCCGTAACTGAGAGCGGAAATGGAGCCACCGCTGAACCGATCTCTCACACCGTCGCCACCGACCGATGTGATGATACCTGCAACGTTAAAGGCAGGTATTTTTATTTGTCGAGACTTCCTGGAAAGGCACTCGTTCCCGAACTAATTGTAACTTCGAGCCTTAATAATAAACAAAAGTTATTATCACTTATTCAAGTAGATCGGCATTTTTTCCTTGAAATTATCATTTCTCTGCCTTTAAGATCATCCGAGGATCATAGTACACTATAAAACTAAATTAAAACTAATTCGAACGGTGATATGTTCATATTTATCGAGAAATTTTTGTCAAAATTTAACTCGGTTCTGTAAAACGAATTTTCTTCTTATTATAAATTTATTTAATTAAAAACGATTTTCTACTTTCTTCTTCGATAACGAATCGAAGAACTTTTGGTATTACCAATTTTTTTAATCGCCTGAAGAAGAATCTTTATTTGGGGAACTTTTATTGAAAATAATCACCACGTTTATATTTGAAACAATTAATATAAAAATTATAAATTTTTAAGGGCTTGTTCCTGTTATCACAAATAATAACTCTGCAAAATTGCATGTATTATCAATTTAAAACTCTCGAAAGTTTGGGACACCGTGTTAACGTTGAAATTAAGAGCTGAAATTTCGCAGGAATCTTTTTTTAACGCAAGGTATACAAGGCTATTCCAAAATTCATTGAAATTAAGGACCACCGCTAGCGTATGCGAACCGATCGATCCGCTATCGGTCGACTGTTACGTGGAGGATATCAGGCATCGCTAAACATCGTATAACGGACAGGGATCAATGTCGGAGGCTCGAATTTCAAGAGGCTAACGGACGGTGTAATAATTAGTAGAGTTTCTGCGGCGAATGGATGACACAGAATATAACGAAGATGATGGAGAACGTAGGTGATCGTCAATTTTTCGGAGTTTTTGGAGGGCAGAAGTGGAGATGTTCGCTTTCGAATGTTTGTGTGTCGTTTTTTTTCTGATACTTTTTCTTACAAGATCTTCTTTCTTGTCTTCTCATCTTATGTTTTCCATTACTTATCTTACGCCACAAAGGTTTCGATTACTTTTTATATTTAGCCATAGCTTGAAAAACTGGGACGAACGGACGGGATTCGAACCCGAGCTCTCACAGCGTGGTAGTCGGCTACGCTACGCACTGCTCCACCGTCTGCTTTCGAATGACAGGGTATGTTTTTGTGGGTTGAAAGCTGATGCTCACTTTCTTTCTGGTTTTCAAGAGATATAACAATGGAAGAGGACTGTTGAACGCAGGAGCTGCGGGTATTCGACTAACGCTTAGATAATGTCGTGCTTTTGTTTGGCATTTGGAATATTCTTTAGTTCTACAGAAATTATAGGATTATTATAAATTAATTTACGTTTCTGTTTCTCATTTGTTTACGCGAAGATACGAATTCGCAAGCCAACGATCCTTCAAAAAAGTTGAAATTTTCAAGTAACCGAAGATCCCTGATGGGTGTTGCGCTTCTCGTTGAACAAAGTTCCATAAAATAGCTTTCTTCCTGGTAACTTTGTCGCCTTAACGCTTTCAGGGCCCCACTCCATTTAGTATTTCCTTGACATGCTCTCTCAAAACCAGCAACTTCCCTAAAGGTTGCATTAACTTTCGAACCTTCGGGATGAGAGTATCGTATTTCCAATATCCGGCACGCTAGACCCTCTTTTCGTTCCGAACTTTGCAGCTCCGTTGCAAGCAACTCATTTTTGATCCGACTTAATACTTTCGAACTAAGAAAGACGTCCGTCTGAAAGCTTAACTATACGTCTACGACAATTAATGATCCATTTTGAACAATTCACTTTCTTCCTTTGACATTTTGCTGTAACGTAATTGATAATGAAGTTATCACTCGTCACACTTGCCTATTTGGTAACCATGTATATTGGCCACCCTGTATATGGATAACGAATGCGCATAACAATAATAACGACGAGTCCAATCATCACCTTATTCAAAGGCGAATGTACATAATTAATTTTACGCGCAATTAAAAATAAACCAGGTAACGTCACTGTCGCGCAGTTGCAATTAGGTATATACAAATTGTAATTTTCATTAGCGGGTGACTTTGCTCCAAAGCGTGATTGAAGAATTGTTCTCGGTAGCCGACCACGTTTTGTTTACACACTCCATCTGCCGCACGAGTCGGTGCGTTATTTGCCCTAGATAAACATAAACAACGGTGTTGATGACTTTGTTACTAAAATGGGGACCCAGAATTTTCATTTGGAACCGGCAATTATTGGATTTAACAATTTGTAAAATAACAGAATTCGGATGGAACACATATGCGATTTTATAGAGACAAAATAAATACGTGTCGTACGTTTTATATTAATTTACAGGTCTAAAACGTTGCGTTCAATTCGTCCCAAGTTCTACGGTTTTAGAACTCAGGAGCTAGACATTCTAGGATCTGGGTATACCAAGATTTTAAGGTGACAGCACGTAGAATTTTCAGGGTCTAGAAGTTCCAAGATTTTAGAGCTCAGGATCTAGATATTCTAGGATCTAGGAATACCAAGAATTTACAACTCAGCATCTGGAGTTTCCAGAATTGAAGAATTCCAAGACTTTAGAGTTCAGCACCCAGAGTTTCCAGAATTTAAGAATCCCAAGAGTTTAGAGCTCAGTATCTAGAGTTTCCAGAATCTGAGAATTCCAAGAGTTTAGAGCTCAGCGTCTAGAGTTTTCTTAATCTCAAGATTTTAAAGCTGCGCATCTAGAGTGTCCGGAATCTAGGATTGTCGGTAACATTACGACGAATAACCCATCACTCACTTCGTAATCGGGATGATCGATGTCTGGCAATCTAAACAATCCGTCTTCCTAGACAACTGTCTATCGCTGCACTTTGTTGCATCAATACACTGCATGATACATTGTTACATTCGTAACCACTGTTATTCATTTGTTTGCTGTCGTTGTCCTGATTCTGTTGTTACCTATGGAAGTGTATCTGCGCATGCATACGCTCTACATTCATAGAGTAACGCAGTAAGCTCTTCCAGAATTTATAGAGCTTTCATATATAGCAAATAACAAATCGTACTCGGAAATAGAGAACGAAACAGGTTATCTGCAACAGTAACGACTATAAAATATCCAAGCCTATAACTAGAAGTTCGAGTGGTCGCAGTTTTAATCATTCAAAGGTGTGGAATACTGTGTTCGAAGTTCAGAAATCAAAATGTCCGAGTGCGAAGTGAAAAAATTGTTTGTTCGGTTCATTAATTACTAAATTCTACCCAATATCGTTAATTCGATTCAGTAGCTGCGCTACCGGAACAAAACGGTATTCTCCTCAGAATTGACGGTCACGTTTTGACAGAACATCTACCCCGACCGTCAAATATCTCAGAAACTCGCCGCAGAAGCGCGGCATACTTCGGGCTTCTGTGGAATTTCGATTTCCTTCACCTTCATTCCCTTTGCCTGCGCTTGACGGTGAGCCTTATTCGCTCGTCTCTCGTAGACGAGACAGATCAATGAACTGGGTAGCATCTTCCCCTTCGCCTGGAATCTTTTACGCTTTCTGGAAATATGGCGTCAACGGTCGGCGCACACCGATAAGCTAGAATTAATGTTAACCCTCTACGTTCGACACTCAAGTTTAGCGTTTTATTAATAAAACAATTGTTCAGAATGAACGCATATTATCAAAATATTATTGTTTATTGTTGCTTACATTATTTTTAAGTACGACCCTTTTTAAAAGAATTTTCCACATGTGATAATAGCTTTATGTTGCAAATTTCTCGATATTACGTTGCTAATTGTGCACTGCGAGCCTTCAAGCACGAGGATAAAAGCAACAGTAACAATAATGGATTTGCGCATGAAGCTCGTCTCTCCAAACATTCCAGATTAATTAGAGAGATCAGTTACACGTGCAATTCGATGCGATTATGTTTGCACACTTGATAACGAATACTAATATTATTACAGCGAGTAGTTGTTAATACCAGTTCTTTATGTACATACGCATGCTTTCAAAGTACCCTTTTGTTAATAAAATACGTATTATCGTCAAAACCAGAAATTTTAAAAAAATAATCATATCTAAGTTCTACCCTATTGACACGAATAATTTTAACTGAAAATTTTGGGGACGAGGAACACGGATCTGAAGTCAGTTTTGAGGTAAAAAATTTCTACGACTGAAAACTTCTAAAAACCGCGGACGCCATTCGAATGACACGATTCCTTAAAGATAATCAAGTGAAGGGATAGTTTCGACAAGCTGCTCGCCGTACAACCGAAGAAGTTGTTCTTGAAGAACTTTACACACTTAACTGGGAGAGAGCATCCACTGCAGTAATATGTTTTGTGGATGTTTCTGGATCTCTTGATACCATTTCAAGCGCTCGTTCTTTTACTGCAGCTGCTGGGGAGAATTTGGCTCTACTGCGGTTCACGTATAAGAACAGGTGAGAAATATCCATTGCGAGCCGCACATTTATGAATTTATCGCCGCTGCGGTTACGACTGAAGTGCATCGATATGGGAAAGCATACAAATCGAGCCACTGTGCTTCTCTGTTATTCTCTTTTACCCGGATTTGTGGATTAAATGGATGATATTCTAAATACCAATTTTAAATTTAAAGAATTTAAATTGAAATCAAGGGTCTAGCAGGATAAGGATAGGGAATCGGCCCCCACCCCAATTTTCATTGGTATTATGTGCCGTGCAATGCTTTTGACCTAAAACATCATCCCGCAAAGTTTCAGACCGTTACTAATAATTTATTTTTTGCTGGTGGTAATTACAAACAACCCTGTGAATGACACCTACCAAAAAAATCAGGAATGATGATCGGTTATTTAGCCGACACATGTAAAAGTTTCAGAACGATCGGAGTCCTAGAACATGATTAAATAATTAAAAAGAAATAAACATCCTATGCGTTACGCTCCGTGCAGTAGAGCTGAAGTAGAATGAGATAATAGTCAGACACACTATGCGTATCGTTACAGCTATGCATTGAGGCGGGGGCCGATTGCCTATCCTTATCCTG